CCTATGATCGCCCGCCACATGATATCCTGGACCTAGCGAGGAAAGAGGATGCAGCGTGGTTTCTCGCTCATGCGGCATCAGATGAGGAGGAACGGGAGGCCCAGCGGCCCCCAACCACAGAACTTACGCGGGCCACTTTTACCTGCTTCATCGATGGCTCATGGAAGGTAGACGAACCCACGAGTGGGACAGGATGGGCTTTACAACTACAAGATGGAGAGTTAGACCTTGTAGGCTTACGGGGAATGCGTCGGGGACTGTCTCCACTCCATATGGAGTTGCACGGGCTATTATGGGCCATGAGGAGTTTACGGAGGAAAAGGCGACACTGCACGATGTTCGCCACAGATTCACAAGAACTCACATCTATGGTGCGAGAACCGGACATTTGGCCGCGATTTCGAACAGAACTAGAAGAGTTTAAAATTCTATGGGCGTGTTTCCTTAACTTTACTCTTGAGTACTGCCCTAGGGAAAAGAACGAGAAGGCGGACCTGTTTGCTCGAACCGCTCGGATACGAAACTTTGTTTTCTCTTATGTTAGCACTTCGATTCTTCATTGGTTTCCAGATACTTCTGTATTTGGCTGATTAGGGTCTAAATTGATTAAAGTTCAACAATATTGGTGGCTGTCGAAATTATTCTTGTTTCGTGGTCGTTGGTCTGATAAAAGGATTTTGCTTCGGTTTCAGATTTTTGAAGAAATGATAAGCCTTTATCTCTTTGTTTATTTTAAATAATTGTTGAAGAAGGGAAGAGTCTCTCTCTCTTTCTTTAAAAAGTTGTTGAAGAAAGCAAAAGTATCTTCCTAGTCATATGAGGTTCCATTTTTTTGTGAATATGGTTGGGTACTTTGTAACTTATTCTTCTTCAAAACTAGGTAATATAATTAAAACTCGGAGAGTTGCTCCTCCTTTCTCCTCTATTTGATAAGGGAGTAGCATATTATAATCTCCGATCTCTAAAACCCGACAAAGCCCTCTCAATATTTCCGAAGCTTGATATCTAAAATTTAGCGAAGCTCGATACCTTAACATTGAGCCTATTAGTCCTTCATCCTGGCATGCAATGATCACTTGATTTTTATATGACTTTGCATACTTCTTATGATTTAGAGTAAGCTCTGCAAGCTTAAATCCTCTCTGAGAATTGTCTTTTATGAAATCTACAATTTTGAGGGGGGAAACATTTGAAACTTAAAACAATGAATTCTGCCAAACTCCCAATATATTGTCTTTACTCTTTGGAATGCTTGTATTCCCTCGTATAAATTTCCAATATTATTAAATTGTTCCTGACCCGTGACCATATAAAGAAAATCCTTTTGTAATCAAACTCCCAGAATAATAAGTTTTCAACTGTAATTTTTC